ACAAGAAAAGAAAATTACAGGCCAATTATCACTGATGAATATAGATGCAAAAATCCTCAACAAAATACCAGCAAACAGAATCCAACAACACATTAAAAGAGTCATACATCACGATCAAGTGGGATTTACCCCAGGGATGCAAAGATTCTTCAATATACGCAAATCAATCGATGTGATACATGATATTAACAAACTGAAGAATAAAAACCATATGATCATCTCAATAGATGCAGAAAAAGCTTCTGACAAAATTCAACACCCATTTATGATAAAAACTCTCCAGAAAGTAGGCACAGAGGAAACCTAACTCAACAAAATAAAGGCCATATATGACAAACCCACAGCAAACATCATTCTCAATGGTGAAAAACTGAAAGCATTTCCTCTATGATCAGGAACAAGACAAGGATGTCCACTCTTGCCACTATTATTCAACATAGTTTTGGAAGTCCTAGCCACGGCAATCAGAGAGAAAAATAAATAAAAGGAATACAAATTGGAAAAGAAGAAGTAAAACTGTCACTGTTTGCAGATGACATGATACTGTACATAGTGAATCCTAAAGATGCCACCAGAAAACTATTAGAGCTAATCAATGAATTTGATAAAGTTGCAGGATACAAAATTAATGCACAGAAATCTCTTGCATTCCTATACACTAACAACAAAAAATCAGAAAGAGAAATTAAGGAAACAATCCCATTCACCACTGCAACAAAAAAAATAAAATACCTAGGAATAAACCTACCTAAGGAGGTAAAAGACCTGTACTCAGAAAACTATAAGACACCAATGAAAGAAATCAAAGATGACACAAACAGATGGAGAGATATACCATGTTCCTGGATTAGAAGAGTCAATATTGTGAAAATGTCTATACTACCCAAAGCAATCTACAGATGCAATGCAATCCCTATCAAATTACCAGTGGCATTTTTTACAGAACCAGAAGAAAAAATCTTAAAATTGGTATGGAGACACAAAAGACCCCAAATAGCCAAGGCAGTCTTGAGGGAAAAAAATGGAGCTGGAGGAATCAGACTCCCTGACTTCAGACTATACTACAAAGTTACAGCAATCAAGACAATATGGTACTGGCACAAAAACAGAAATATAGATCAATGGAACAAGATAGAAAGCCCAGAGATAAACCCATGCACCTATGGTCAACTAATCTATGACAAAGGAGGCAAGGATATACAATGGAGAAAAGACAGTCTCTTCAATAAGTGGTGCTGGGAAAACTGGACAGCTACATGTAAAAGAGTGAAATGAGAACACTCCCTAACACCATACACAAAAATAAACAAAAAATGGATTAGAGAGCTAAATGTAAGACCGGACACTATAAAACTCTTAGAGGAAAACATAGGAAGAACACTCTTTGACATAAATCACAGCAAGATCCTTTTTGACCCACCTCCTAGAGTAATGGAAATAAAAACAAAAATAAACAAATGGAACTTAATGAAACTTAAAAGCTTTTGCAAAGCAAAGAAGACTACAAACAAGATGAAAAGACAATCCTCAGAATGGGAGAAAATATTTGCAAATGAATCAACGGACAAAGGATTACTCCCCAAAATATATAAACAGCTCATGCAGCTTAATATTAAAAAATCAACCCAATCAAAAAATAGGCAGAAGACCTAAATAGACATTTCTCCAAAGAAGACATACAGAGGGCCAAGAAGCACATGAAAAGCTGCTCAACATCACTAATTATTAGAGAAATGCAAATCAAAACTACAGTGAGGTATCACCTCACACCAGTTAGAATGGGCATCATCAGAAAATCTACAAACAACAAATGCTGGAGAGGGTGTGGAGAAAAGGGAGCCCTCTTGCACTGTTGGTGGGAATGTAAATTGATACAGCCACTATGGAGAACAGTATGGAGGGTCCTTAAAAAACTAAAAATAGAAGTACCATATGACCCAGAAATCCCACTACTGGGCATATAGCCAGAGAAAACCATAATTCAAAAAGACACATGCACCCCAATGTTCACTGCAGCACTATTTACAATAGCCAGGTCATGGAAGCAACCTAAATGCCCATCGACAGACGAATGGGTAAAGAAGATGTGGTACATATATACAATGGAATATTACTCAGCCATAAAAAGGAACGAAATTGGGTCATTTGTAGAGACGTGGATGGATCTAGAGACTGTCATACAGAGCGAAGTAAGTCAGAAAGAGAAAAACAAATATCGTATATTAACGCACACACGTGGAACCTACAAAAATGGTACAGATGAACCAGTTTGCAGGGCAGAAATAGAGACACAGATGTAAAGAACAAACGTATGGACTCCAAGGGGGGAAACTGGCCGGCGGCGGGGATGAATTGGGAGATTGGGATTGACATATATACACTAATATGTATAAAATAGATAACTAGGGGCTTCCCTGGTGGCGCAGTGGTTGGGAGTCTGCCTGCTGATACAGGGGACACGGGTTCGTGCCCTGGTCCGGGAAGATCCCATGTGCCGCGGAGCAGCTGGGCCCATGACCCATGGCCACTGGGCCTGCGCACCCGGAGCCTGTGCTCCGCAACGGAAGAGTCCGCAACAGTGAGAGGCCCACGTACCGAAGAAAAAAAAAAAATAGATAACTAACAAGAACCTGCTCTATAAAAAAATAAATAAATAATTCAAAAAAAAAAAACACCCCCCAAAAAGAAGAAAAAGAAAATGCTCCAACTTACAAAACAGAAGCAGAGAAGCCCTTGTCTGCATCCATTTGGTCTGAAACACGGACAGAACCAGCAAGATGAAAAGATCAAATTACAAAGAAAAGCTGACCCCAGGGGAAAGAGGAGAACCTCGGGAACAATAGAGAACAGCCAGAACTCAGCTCAGAGAGACTCGGAAAGACAGCACAGCACTCACGGAAGAACAGAGACCAGGAAAGCAGGTGATTCCAGTGCTTCCCTCAGCAACCCCCCACCTCCAAACCCCAGTAAATCAACAAAGAGAAACAAATCCACAAGGAAAAAGAAAACAGAAGAAACAGTAGCTAAGAGACTTCAGCAGTGACTTCCAAGTTGTAACTGAGCTGCACAGGGGAAGTACAGAAGCAGAGCCCAGCGGTGGGTCACAGCCCGGAGGCCAGAGGCCTGAGGTGCCGGGGTCAGCCCAGGGTAGGACAAAGGTGGGGCTGAAAACAGGAGGAGTGGTCCAAGGCTCCAGGCCACAGTACCGTGCCCATACAGGCAGAAGACTAAAGGTTTACTTTTTTTTTTCAATAAATTTATTTATTTAATTTTTGGCTGTGTTGGGTCTCCCTTGCCGTGCACGGGCTTTCTCTAGTTGCAGCGAGCGGGGGATGCTCTTCGTTGCGATGCGTGGGCTTCTCATTGCGGTGGCTTCTCTCGTTGCGGAGCACAGGCTCTAGGCGCACGGGCTTCAGTAGTTGTGGCTCGCGGGCTCTAGAGCGCAGGCTCAGTAGTTGTGGCACTCGGCCTTAGCTGCTCCGCAACATGCGGGATCTTCCCAGACCCGGGCTCAAACCCGTGTCCCCTGCACTGGCAGGCGGATTCTTAAGCACTGTGCCACCAGGGAAGCCCTAAAGGTTTACTCTTGCGAATGGAGAATACCACAGTCACTAGCCATATTTGGGTTTTTTTTAACTTAAATCAAATAAAATTTAAGATTCAAAGAAAAAAACAAAAAATAAAATAAAATTCAGTTTCTCAGTCATACGAGCCATACTTCAAGTGCTCCACAGTCACATGTGGCTAGTGGTGACCTTACCAGACAGCACAGATCTAGAACATTCCATCACTGCACAGAGCTATCCTGGACAGAGGTGTCCTGAAGAGAGTAGACTGAAGGGCTTAGAGCTGGAAACCAGGCTTGGTGCCTGACTCAAAAGGTAATTCTGCGCTAGGAGGCCCACAGCAGGACCCTCCTCACAGGGCCACAGGGCCCAGCAGCTGGGTGTGTGCTCCCCAGGGAGGAAAACCGGACCTGTAAGACAACTTTGAAATATACCAAACCAAGGACAAGCACTCTTATAAAGTAAAAACAACTGTCGAAATAAATTCAAGAACATCTTCTACATGCAAAACAAAGATCCAAAAGCAGAACTATAAGGGAAAAGCTTAGGGACCCAGAGGATCACTCCTGGAAATTCACAGGCACACCAGAAGAAGGCAGAACAGAGAAACGATCAAAAACACACCAGAAGTAAAGCTCCCTGTACCAAAGGATGCAAGTCTTCAGCCTAAAATCGTCCAGCTAATGCCCAGCATAAGAAAAAAAGCCTAGCGCGAGTCATACCCTCCTAAAATATGAGGTTCTAGAAAAGCCTCCCGAAAAAGAAACTCAGATTTGGACATGGCATAACTGGATAAGGGAAGACGATGGACCCATGCCTTCCATCCCCACCCAGCCAAGCTGCCAACCACGCATGAAATGTATTTATTCTGCCTGAGATAGCTGAGAGTTCAGAAAACTTACCTTCTACAAAACCTGTTAAAAAAGAAAAACCAGCACGCACAGCACCAGCCCACTTTTTAAAAGGCACCTGTGTTCACACTGAGGCTAACCCTTGGTGTCTCCCTGGTGATGTCTCTAAGATCTCCACAGCCCTGGGGGCAAGCAGCGCTGATGACCCCATATCACGGGCTGACAACTCAGGCACAGAGCAGCTAAGTGGCAGAGCTGGGATGTAAATCTAGGTGGTCTAGCCCCGGGGTTTGTGATCCCAACCCCCATACCATGCTGCCCTTCAACTGAAATTACTATCGCTACCTTCCTCCTTCTCAAGTTCACTGCCAGGAGCAGGTGTTACTACTGTAGGCCCCATTAACCAGTAAGGCCTGGGCACTTTATCCTGATACCCTCTGCTTGTGCGCAGGTGCGCGCGCGCGCACACACACACACACACACACACACACACACACACACACTCACACTCCATGCACCAAGGCCTCTGTGATCATCTGTAACTGAACGATCAAAAATCAAAATCCTCAGCCTCTATTCTTACCTAGGTGTGGGTCCAACAGGTGAGGCTGCTCCTGATATTTGTCCATTATTACTAAAAAGAAAAACAATGTGAGAATTAACATGCACATGAGCCTGGGAAACACTCGAGTTTTCCCACGCTGACTTGCAGGGCAGCTCCCAAGAGCACAGGCCAGCTGAAGTGAGCCCCCACCCACCCACTTCCTCAGGGCCACTGTGCCCTGGCCTCTGCCCTCTGCTTGCTCAGCACACCTTCCTCTCAGGTCCTCGCTTCTTCCTTCCTTCACGGCCTGCTGACAGCCAAGCTGAGTTCTCCCCTTCATTAGACACACACCTTCCACACCCTTCACTCTCCTCTGCCACACACACCAAGCCATGTGCCCTCCCAGGCCTCACACCACGGCCTCCTTAATCCCATGCAGCCTGGTTTCCACTCCTACCAGCAGCTAGAACTGCTCCTATCAGATCCCATGACCACTTGGGTTACGGCAGTTCTTATGCACCACACACCTCCACACCTGACCACTCCCTAGGAATGGGAAAGTGGGCTTTCACTGGTCCCTGGATATACACCTCACCCTCAGGACAGTTCTACGCCAGAGGTATTTTCAGTGCTAACCGCAGCCGACAGCCAGAGAATCAGCACAATCAAGCAACTAGCCCAAGTGGCAGAGGGGTATTCAAGCCCAGGGTTGAGTTGCCGAAGTGTGTGCTCTTTCCACTCAGCCAGCCACACTGACACCTCCTGAAGTTCAGAGTTGTCATTACAAACCCATGAAGACAAAATTATATAGAAATTTCTTTACCTAAAAGGGTCCTCGAGGACGGTTTTACTGAATCACAAAACCCTACGTAGTTATCTAACCACGGGATCCTAAGGAGTCATTTGGAAGTTGCCCGTTATAGACAACTACAAGGGTCCGTCTAAACTTGGAGAACCTAGACTAATGACTAAGCATCCTACGGTGCGCCTATCCGACATCCTGCGCTGTCCTGCACAGTCTTGGCAGAGCCATGGGCGCTGCCTACAGCTAAGGCTCTGGGTGGGGGCCCCACAACCGCACAGCCAGCCCGGCCCCCGCCCGCTCCAACCTGTTCTCGCCTCTCCTGCTCCCACTGCCCTGTCCACACAGCTGTCTCGGAGAAAATGCTCTTTGCTGTGGTCCCAGGGCAGGCTGGAGACGACTTGGAGACGAGCCGCCCAAGGGAGGTCCACCCGCCCCCTCCTGACGGAGGTCGGCCAGGAGGCCCACTGCCCTCTCCACTTCTCACGCCCGCGCCCGTGTCTGGAACCGCAAGAAAGGAGACCTGCACAGCCTGCGCTGCCCCCTTCCCTCCTCCGGCCCGCACACACCGCGGAACCGCTCCAGGGCGCCCTCCCGGGCCGCGCGGTCTCCAAGCACCGCCGGTAGGTGGCCGAGCAGCTCCTTCGTCTCCGCGCTCTCGGCGAACGACTCGAGAGAGGCGCAGCAGGCCAGCGCCGCGTCCTCCGCCGCATCCTCCGCCCGGTCCTCCACCGGATCCTCCACGGCGCCCACGGCCGGCTCCTCGCTCAAGGCCATCCTCGGCGGCCGGACGGTGCCCGCAGACTCGCAGCCGGCTCCACACGCGCGCGGGGCGCGGGGCGTGGGACACGGGACACGAGGCACCGAACGCTCAAGATTGCTGAGACAGAGAAGACGGCAATAACGCCGGCCCCGCCCCACGACCTCCGACCTTGCGCGCCGGCCCCGCTACAGAGCGCGCCGGCCGCCAAAATACTGCGCGCGGAGGCGGTGCCGACCCCGAGTGAGGCGGGGCCAGAGGGCTGGGTGGGGTGACAAGATCCCACAAGCCGGTTGCGCAGCCTTCCCCGAGCACGCGCGCTGAGTTCAGGTCCCCGGGGTTTTTTTGCAAAGCCGTCTGCAGGCGCGCGGGGCTGCAGTGGGAGCGGCTCCAACCCGCTAGACAGGCACTTTCCAGACAACGGATGAGTGGGCACTCGTAAAGCCCCGAAACAATTGGTGATTCGGGAGGAGTGATAACGGCGCGGCTCAGGTCTTCCGAGACGCACACACGGGTGGCCGAGGTGCCCGGCAGCCCCGCCCCTACACGGTGGCAGCCCGACACGCCGACCCCCTGGATACCCCGACACCCTAAGCACTCCAGGCACCCGCCAGGGAACACCCCCTACCCAAGGCTACCGCCCCCCCCGCACACACACACCCTTCTATTCGAGTAAAAAACACCAGCTGCAAAACGGAGCGCGGGAGAGAAGCTGGGCAGTGGCTAAAGCACATGGGGGGGGGGTCTTTCTTCCACCTGTCCACCTCAGTAAGGTGGACTTGGAGCCCTGCTCAGCCCCAGAGATACTGCTCAAGAGGTGCACCCATCTCATGGTCCCCAACTCTGCCTAAGCCAGAAACAGGAGACCCAAATCCACAGGGGGCCATGACACCAAATTCCACATAAGCAAACCCCAGATCTGTGTGAATTTCTGTACAACTGTCATGAAAGTATCCAAACTCCAAGTTCCCCCCAGACTGGAATAGGTAATGAGCCTGTCGGAGACATTTCAGGTGGTCTGGGCCCCCATAAATTAACCCAGCTGCATGGAGGACGGAGACGCAGGTGAAACTAAGACACACACAGTTCCATCCCTGAAACCACCGTGGGCTTTATTCATCTCTGAAGCCGCCTCTGGTACTGCCGCCCTGGTCCTTTGGCAAGCGGCTGGGCAGGCGACACAGGCGGGCTGCTACTTGAGAAGCTTCCTCATGGTGCCCAGGGATGGGCTCCTGTACTGCTTCCCGAAGTGGTTCCAGTGGTTCAGGTAGTTAAAGAGCTGATAGAGCAGCAGCCGCCTGTCAAACCCTGGAGCCTTGGGGACCTTCCGGTGGTAGGCGGTGAAGAAGGGCCTGGGAAACCCCCCGAACATCAAAGCAATCGCCAGTTCAAACTCAGAATGACCGTAGAAGGAGGCCGGGTCGTAAATAATGGGGCCGGTGTCGTCCTCGGCCACATTTCCTGACCAGAGATCCCCATGAAGAAGGGCGGGGACAATCTCTAGGCCACAAAACAAATCTGGGATCTTCACCTAAGAAAATAATTATTGTACACAGAGTTATCACAGGCCTGGGAGCCACAGTCTCCTCATCCAGTACTTGGAAATAAGGCAAAGACGACCTTGTGTTTGCTCAGGGTCCAGCCACCACTTTGTACCAAGCCCAGGGATAAGGATCCTCTGACTCCAGGGAAATGTAATTTTGTCTTAGTATTTACTACTAATTTAGGTCTAGAAGCGCTACAATTTAATGATTTCCATACAGTAGAGAACCTCAGAGGTTATGATTTTATTGTCATGTAGAATATGAACTGTACAACCTGAGTGGAGTCTTTTTGTATGTAACTTAGCAAACTTTCTGCGCTATTCTTTTATTTCACAGCACATATATATCTGCACCTCTTTTGTAGCCTGATTACTTCAGCAATGAGTTAAATAAAATTTCTTTGATGCATGCTGATAGACTGATATGCGAGTTCTGTTTTTAACATTTTGAGAGTTACGTTTTAAAACCAGTCACTCTGGTTTCAAAGTGCTACCCACACCTGCTCTAAGAGGTAAGACGTTGCCTTGGTGAAAAAAACAGCATAAGAATGGACAAGAAAGTAATAGTAAATGCCACCATTCACAAGCCAAACACCTACATTTCACATGAGCAAAGTTTGAGGTAAAGTACCTGGTGACCAAGCACACGTGAGAGGTGCACTCAGGGACCAAGTATGCCCTCAGGTCCCATCCCCTTCTCAGCTTCCCCATCAAGCCAATAGTCAGGACACTTCTGGGTCCACGACTTGACCAGCTCTGCTCCAGGCTCAGCAGTCCCCACTCTGGCTCTGTTCTAGCAGGGGGTCCCACACAAATGTGGTAGGCTCATAAGAGAACAGCCCCTCTCCCAGAGGATAACTGCTGTGCCCACCTGTAGCTGTGACCAGAGTTCTCGTGCCTCTCGGTCAGCATAGTCCTTCTCAATGAGGTCCAGCTGTGCTTGGAGCCGGTGCCGGGTGAAGAAGGTTGGCCAGTCATCCTGCCACTCGTTCACCTGAGCAACAAGGGAAAGGAGGGGCTGGTGCTGCAGCTGGTGGTCACAGGACAGAGGTATGCATGGCATCTGCCTAAACCCTAAAGCAACCACTAAAAGAGCACAGCAAATGTTATCGCTGTCCAACAAGGGAGATAAGATGGAATCATTAAAAATACTTACTTAGGGACTTCCCTGGTGGCACAGTGGTTAGGAATCTGCCTGCCGAATGTAGGGGACACGGGTTCGGGCCCTGGTCCGGGAGGATCCTGCGTGCCGTGGTGCAACTGGACCCATGCGCCATAGCTGCTGAGCCTGCGCTCTAGAGCCCGCGAGTCACAACTACTGAAGCCCACACACCTGGAGCCCGTGCTTCCCAACAGGAGAAGCCGTCGCAGTGGGAGGCCTGTGCGCCGCAACGAAGAGAGGCCCTGCTCGCCACAGCTGGAGAAGGCCTGTGCGCACAGCAACGAGGACCCAATGCAGCCAAAAATAAATAAGTAAATTATTTAAAAATACTTAGTTAGGGCTTCCCTGGTGGCGCAGTGGTTGAGAGTCTGCCTGCTGATGCAGGGGGCACGGGTTCGTGCCCCGGTCTGGGAAGATCCCACACGCCGCGGAGCGGCTGGGCCCGTGAGCCATGGCCGCTGAGCCTGCGCGTCCAGAACCTGTGCTCCGCAATGGGAGAGGCCCGCATACCGCAAAAATAATAATAATAATACTTAGTTAATTCGAAAGAGAGATAAAGAATAAAAGGGGAGCAAAGAACAGAGAAGACAAATAAAAAAGAAATGACAACAGTTCCAAATCTAACCATATCAATAAGTACATTAAAAGTTAATTCGAAAGAGAGCATAAAGAATAAAAGGTGGGGGCTTCCCTGGTGGCGCAGTGGTTGAGAGTCCGCCTGCCGATGC